TACAACAAAGTTTAATTGTGTAAATTGTTAACTTCCACGAAATTTAATATTGCAAACGAAATATTATCGTTATCTCGATATATGGTAGTTATTATATGGTAGTTATTACGTTACAATTATCTTAACCTATGAGCAAAACTGGGACACTGCTGACACTTGGAAAAAATCTCACAGATGCGCTTTATGCAGTTAAACGATTCTTCTTGGCACGCCTAATGACGTCATACGACTGCATTAAACTAGGACAGGGTTTAACGCTGCAAGTTCTGCAGCGTGTATTCGGTCGCGATAAAACCGTCAGGATACGATTATCGTTGGATTTAGTTTCTTGCAGATTTCGGTAAACTTGATTCACAAGCTTTCTTAGCGAGAATCTGTTGGTGTTTCGAAAGCCGTTGGGATCGAACTTTCTTCTTGCGACACTATTTTCATTCATAAAAGTAGCACCGGCGATTTCATTTTCTAGCACAGAATCACGTTCGCGGTATAAATGCCGTTCATTGATGTTGATGCTGCCACGATCAATATTGTACACCAGGCCGCGTATTGAATGTAATTTACACGGTCCAGTTGCCTCGCATGCGACTAATCGAGAGTCACATGCGCATTTAGACGCGCATTTTTCTTCGATCGGACGATATTTTTAATAATAAAATCAAATGTATTTTATCCTCCACCTTTTCTTGCGCAACTCCCACGCGGTGGCACGTTAAAAAAAAAGAATGTCCCGGTTGGTTATTGCATTAGGTCCTAATATAGAAACGAGGACGTGTCCGCGTCTCCCTCGGCATCTAGAAATTAGCGGGCGATCACCAACACCACGCGGCCTGCTACTCCAGGTTATTTTCTGACGTCACTGCCAGCCTCTTGACGTCATTCACCTGTATCGGCCTCTCTCTTCGTCGCGTCTCGGGAGATGTACCACATTTTCGCCACTTAGGATTCGATGATCCAAACGGTGTATCACATTTGCCATTTATTTCGTTACTTCGACGAAACAATTATGAGACGAATATTATCTACTTAAAAAAACACGTTCAAAAAAGCAAACAAATTGCAGTTTTTGATCGATTTATCGATGCACTTGCGTCACGGTATATTTTAAGACGTCAATGATTCCGTGCCAAAATGAGCTTTCTATGGACTAACGTGAATTTAAACCAACGAATTGTACAGTTATTAACTAAAAGATTTAATTTCGGAGAAGGGTGAGCAGTGGTCTTTCCGTTATTAATTTCTTTCCGTTAAGACGAATACGTACTTTGATCGAACCAAATCGGGATCAAGCCAAGTCCAGAAGTGAAGCTCAATTGAGCGATCAGGGAAGTCGAGCGACCGTAAATTAGATCGTGGCTCGCGCAGATCGGGTCAGGTAGAAAATTACGGCACAAAGGTTCGACAATGTTAGCTTACCGAGCATGTGGATGATAAGTCATAAAGCGATTAGCCAAGTAACCAGAAACATTGAACGGCAGGTGCGATGGACGTCGTGTCGGGCTGTCGACCAACTGTCGCTCCGCGTACGATTACTGGCTAGCTCCCCTTTTATTTCGGTGCCCCAAAGAGTCGACGATGCTAAAGTCACGACGACGTATTCGATGTATTTGGCAGCCCCGTGGTTGTGTACGATCAGGCTGAGACCGGAGAGGCCGAAGAGCGAGAGCGCGTTGCATTGGACGTTGACCCGCGCGACTCAACTGTTGCTCCCATTCGTGCATCCGGGAGTCTGTCGAAGGGAGACGACCTAGAGAAGATTTGATAATGGACGAGTTCTTCCGACGGGCTCGAGTGTTTATCACGTAAATTTAGTCTGCAGAATGGCTACCGATAAAATTCGTGGCGCACGCAATTGGGAATCACTTCACCGAGAAAATGTCTGGTTGGATTAATTTGAATCCTGAAAATGAATCTTGAAAAGGAACGAATCAGAATTATCTGATTAAATCTATTAATTCTAGTTGAGATGATAATACCGGAATTCTGATTGGTATAATAAAAATTTTCTGGTTCGTCCATTTTCGATCAGATATTTCTCTCGGTTCGAATTTTGCGTTCAATGTGCTGTGTTTTCGTCGGAGATGTCAAGAGCAGATTCCAATTCTCTCAAACGGATATAATTTTGAGATTTGATAAAAAAGGAGGCTGTTAATGTTCAGTTTAATCAAGTCGAACATTAATAATATGTGGAGAGTCGGGTGTATTAAATTTATATGTTCACACATTGAAAAATTACTGGTAATGGGTCTGTAATACCTACCTAATAAATGTATTTCGTTTAGCGTATTGCAATATTTAGTAAATGTCACCAAACATAATAACTGTAATGAACCGTTGATAATGAAATTTTATGGATTATTTTTTAAATTGCCGAAAAATATGTATTAAAATTATTAAGATGTTTTGTGAAGAAACCAAGTGATATGTTTTATACTTTTCTTACTGTAAAAATAATCTCTTTGTCAAAAGAGATTTTAAACGGACTTGAGTCCGTTTTTCGTCAACCATGATACAAGACTATTTTGAATGATAGTATCAATTTGGACAAGCTTTACCTGTCGATATGGTGATTGACCAATTCCGATTCAAGGCTAATCTGCGTTTCTAATCTGAGCTTCGATTGTTATTGCATTCCTAATCGACAGCATGTATCATTATTAATCACCATAAAATTAATATCAATATACTTCTTACATAAAGAGTACATACTTGTTGAAGTGTTTGCTATTTGCAAAATTGAAATGCTTCTACGATAACGCAGTAAATATTAACGATTAGTTATACTTATATAACGTCTAAGCAAATTGTGAAGAAATAATTTTGAAATTGCTTTCAGAATGCACCGTAAGCTATTCAAAATATCGTGGTATTTTTTACGGCTTCTTAAAGTAAGGTTGTGGACCTAGCCTTAGCTGTGTTCGGTTTGGATGTTTACGTCCTGTAAATCATTTTATTTTTATTGTTTATTAGACGTAAACAAGGATAGAAGCGCTGAAAATGCTGAAAGCGTCCAAACCGAACATAGCCATAGAAAAACGTAAAGCACTAACGTCCGTTTCTACTAACGTGATTTAATTTTAATCTCAGTTCAACTAACTCTTCATCTTTTTCTAGTTCTAATGCGTCGTCTACAATATGCGGAATAAGAAATAAGAGTAATGGGCTTTCTACAATAAATCATTACTTAAGCTTTAAGTTTTAAGCCATAAGAAATTGACCAACCATAGTCAGTTATTCTTCTCACATTTAACTGTGATTTGTCAATTTCTTACGGCTTAAGATTTAAAGCTTAGATAATAACTTATTGTAGAAAACCTAATACACATTCTACAATAAGCCATTAGTAATAAATCAGAAATCAGAAGAAATTGACCAATCATAGTCAATTATTCTTCTCGTATTCGATTGTGATTGGTGAATTTCTATCTTCTGACTTCTGATAGAGTGTATCTAAGAAATTGACCAATCGGAGTCGATTCTTCTTCTCACATTCGACTATGATTGATCAATTTCTTACTTTTGCTTCTTACGCGTATATTGTAGGCGACGCATTAGAGATAAAGAGTTAATTGAACCGAGATTAAAATTAATTTACATTGATAGAAACAGACATAATACTAATTGTAAGTGAATTGATCAATTACAATAAACAAGGTTGCCACGGACCTATAAAGCCGAGGAAATCAGGAAAAGTCATGGTAAATCGAGAAAATTCAGGGAAAAATATAAGAAAGCCTGGAATTGCGAGATTCGTTCAATTTCTTTAAAATACGTTTACTCCAAACAATGTTATAATTTTTTAAATAATATATTAACATTTATAGTCAAATATTGATTTTCTTAGTCAATATTTCAAACTGTGTACTTTGTACTAGGCCATGTATTAGTCATTATATTGAAAGAAATGTAATAATTTTTTTTTAAATATAAAAATTAGACATTTCTTAAGATGTCAAGTTTAATTTTTGTTTTAATTTTCATGCAGTTTAATACAAAATTTAATTCATTTTAATTAAACTTTGTTATAATTGAGATACATATATATTTTTTACTTCAAACTGCAGTATAATTAAAATTAAAGTAGTCAAAACAATTTTAATTAAAGTGGTCACAATTGAAATTTATATTTTCTTCAGTACTTTAGGGTCTGAGCACAAGAATTGTTGTAATACTTACTTAGACTTAAGTTGTAGACGTAAATAACGCATAAGCTTTCACGTATAATGTACAACTTACTGCCGTATCTCCAAGAGACGGCAATAAGTCGTAGGTTATACGCCAAAGCTTGTGCGTTACTTACATCTACAACTTAAGTCACTAAATAAGTGTTACGACAATTCTTATGCCCAAACCCTCACTCATTCTTTTACGTTATAACTGAATTCGTTTTTCTAACGCTCTTTTATTTTTTGTTGATCTGAATTTGCATCCAAGATTTCGTTATGCTGCTAAACTTCTAAATGTATGTTGTTTTTAATAATATAGAATAGTTTTCTTACAAAATCCCTGCTTCTAAATGTTAAAATTTACATATTTGATATAGATTATGGAAAATTTTGTTTCTTGGCACTGTCATCTGGAAAACCTGGAAAAGATCGAGAATTTCAAAATTAATTTTCTGTGCAATTTTAAATAAAAAATTTGGAACAATAACCTTACATTCTGTACTATGATTACCCGCGGTTCGCTTAAGCTTAAATCGTACATTTTATTGTCTTACTAGTTTTTGTACATCCCATGGATTTTAGGCAGTGTAATCAAACAAAAACATTTAGCGATTACAATAACCATACGTCATATGTTCTGCTTGCCACGCGTGTTGCAGCGATTAAACCGGCAGCTTTTTTTTTTATTTGGGTTACTGGTTGCTGCGGCAGGAGGCAGTAACAGCAATGGTTTGTGCAGTAACCTGTCATCGTCGGCAGCGACAACTGCGTCCTCTTGACGCCGGGTCGGTCGGTTGGTACGGCGCCAGCGTCGTCTCTCCCACTTCCTGGCGACTCGTCCTCCCGGCCGACCTTCTCTCGAAACCACGTCCTTCCTTGGGTGTGGTTCGGGATCGTCGAGACGTCGTTTCTCAATCGTCGACAAGTCGTGGAACTCGCGTTTCAAGCCGCTAATCGGATTTCCTTCGTCTTGAAGTCGCGGCCTGCGAATGACGCTCGTTCTTCTGCATTCGTGATTTATGTGCTCGCCATAGGAACAAGAACGATTGTGCAGTGCGAACGGACGAGTCGAACAAGTGCAAAGAGTGTACGGATAGGAGAGGGAGAGAGAGAGAATCAGAAAGATTAACGAAGAGCGGGGTGAGAGCAACGACGACGTTCATCGATTCGTATCGCGCTCTCACGGTTGCGTGCGAAACGCGACGGAAAAAGCGAGAGCCCCTCTCGCTGACGTACGTGCGTGTATACATGTACCTCCGCAGTGTCCGCAAAACCCGCAGTTCCGAGCAGTATCGGGAAAGGAACTGGAAGTGAAACCGCGGCGCTAGCCCAAAGTTCCAAAGTTCTCCGTATCGGAGAGAAGAATTTCGCACACACACACACGATTCGCGTGTTGACGGGCGCAACCTGGCGGTAACGAGCGACAAGGCTTCTGACTGGGTTGTACGTCGTCTGCTTCGACCTGGTGGTGGAGGCGGCGGTGGTGGTGGTAGTGGTGGCGGCGGCAGCAGCGGTTCTTTTACAAGAGGTTATGTTGCTGCGGCTTCGATGACGCTCCTCTGACAGCAGTGGCGGTGACGGTGGGACGGAGCAAGTGGGTTCCATCGATGCGTATAAATCATACTTTCCACCTCGACGCCCTCGTAGGCGAGAACGTCGTCTCTTTTTTTCAGTCTTCTTTTTTTTCCTCTCTACTCTCACCGATCGAAGCCGCCGAGAGATTCTTGCTACTCGCTATTAGCTAGCCAGGACAATTGTGCGCGTCGTCGGGGAAAAACGGAAGAACGATATTACATGACGTCGTTCCACCCGTTGTCAATAGCGCCCTTTCTCGTTATCGATAAATGCGCAAAAGCCCCCAAGCTTCCGCCGACCTTCGTATTTTGGCTCCCGGGGCTTCGCCGCGCGATTATCGATTGTTCATCGATAACGTTCTTTCGCGGATGGCAATATGGTTATGGTGCCGTTATAGAATTGCATTTTGTCTACGTCTAAAGCAGGCCTGTCCAATTTGAGCTCCGGAGTCAAAACGCAAAGCCATCGACGTAACAAATTCATTGTAAAGTTTTAGAAAGTATTGATAAGCGTCACTTAGATGCGTATCAACACTTTACAGTCCTCGAAATCTTACCCACATTGAATTTTTTTGCATCGATGGCTTTGCGTTTTGGCTCCGGAGCTCAAATTGGACAGGCCTGATCTAAAAGAAAACAGCGACGGCAATTATAAAAATGACAACTATACAAGCTTTATATACAGAATTAGTTTATATAATTGTACAAACTATTTTATATTTGCAATGACAATAAAATAGTTTGTCCAATTGTGTACATTAATTCTCTGTATGCAGAACTTGTATACTTATCACCTTTATGGTTGCCTGCACCACATTATTAGCGAATTTGGTGGGATGCACTAGTGCGCACTGGTGCTCATTAAAGTCGTACAAATCAAAGTAAAAATATATGTTTAATATAAATATCTATTAAATCGCGAAAAAATATATTGTGCAGCTGTTATTATTGCGCTGTTTTATAAAATGTGTATATAAGCATTTTATCATTCGAGTTATTTGTATTTCACTTTTGTATTCAGAGATTAGATCAATGTGTACCAACTATAATATACCCCTGGTAGAAATTTCATGCATTTTTTTAGCAGTTACTAAACAGTTACACCAATTTCTGTAGTAACTGAAAAGGAAAACTTCTACTTAGGATCCCAATCAGGATGTAACGCTTTGCTTGCAGTTACTGCGTACAAAAGTTGCGTAAAACTGAATCCATTTACTGAATAGAAACACAACAATAATGTTTATTAAATTGATTAATAAGTGAACCAACTGCTCGTGAAATGGATAGTTTTATTGGACTAGTAATATTTCATATTTTGTGCATGCTTGCTAATTGTAAAATTTAAGGTTATGAGAGTCATAATACAGGAAATCTTTTGTGCATAATATATTTTGTACTAAAAATAATATAATATATATTATAAACCAAAGATTTTCTGCACTATGTGTGACTCTTATAACCTTAACATGTACCTTATTTGTCTTTTGCTTACTTTTAACCCTAACTGTAGTTGTTATTTCTGTCACAAAATTTTACCCTTATTTCCAAAAATCCTTATTTTCCTCTTAAAATCTTCTTCCTTTTCCTTGTTCTATGTTTTTCTACGCGTTCACTCATTAAACTTTACATAATTTTAAAATCTTTTAATATATACTCTCTTTTAACTTTTATACACATCATATGATGCGTGCATTATCAACTGAATTATAATAATATATTACAATATCTTGGAAAGAATCAGCCCAAATGTTGTATAAGAAACTCAATAAAACTTTACTCAGTTTTTGTCCAGTTTCTATACATTATTTTAACTAGTATATATATAATTTAATCTATTAATACTAGACAATAACTGGGCAGTATCTACGCAAATTCCACAAATTTTTACCAGGAAAACTGCTTCAGTCTCTGAATAAAACTCTATCAAGTGTTCTTGTCCATTTCCTACTCAGTATTGATACAACTAATGAGAATACAGTAATATTAGATAGTAACTGGATAGGTGTCTAGGAAAACTGAATACATTTCTACCAGGGACGCCAGTGCGTGTTAATGCATCCAATTAAATTCGTTATATGCTTGTTCTCTGAGTATAACACGTGTTTTTATTTCTTCGTTTTTTAAATAAATATCTGCAGGCAAAAATGAATAAAACATGAATTAATGTCGTGGGTAATTACATCATTTGCGAGGTTGCATAAAAATGCTAATGTCACTTTTCGGTTTTATCAATTGACTCTTTCTTTCTTTCTTTCGATTTGTAAATCGATTTATTGAAAGGCAGCACATAGCTTCTACGCTATTATTATCTCTTTTCTTTTATTGATAGGTGCTAATGTCATAAAGTTTCTATGTCTCTGTGACAATCTATTTCATTCTGAATTCAATAAAACATCCGAATTTCTCTCTCTCTCTCTCTCTCTCTCTCTCCCCCCCCTCTCTCTCCGATTCGCGATTATCTAATATCTAATTTGTCTCTTCTGTTCATAAAAACTTTATGATGTAGTGCGAAAATATTTCTTGTAATTTTGTCCTTTTCTAAGATTTTTTTTGTTTTCTCAAATCTGACGTATTTTCTTATCAGAGATAATCGATTAGTATAAGTCAGTAAAATTTTCAGCGAGCATTGAAATTAGCACGGTCAAGTTAATTTACATTACATTACATATCTTAGTTTTCGGAAAAAATGTTTGTTTTCCGATCTCATTTGTATGAGCGGCGAACTTTGTTCTTGCTGTCGGCTCAATTCGGAACATGAGAACATCCTCGTGTTAGATTGTCAATCTTCACAGTTTCCCCGCGTCGCAAAATCTCGCGGAGGTAAAGGACTCACCGTGGATCTTCATATCCGTGTTGTTCGAGTTGCTGCAAATGGCATAACGAAAAGGAAAACTTATATAACCACAAGATTACGTAGTATTTGTGAGATGTCCGTTTTTCTCTCGACGAGGAAAAATTTCAGGATTTGTGGCGCCGATAAAACTCGAAGAATTTATTTATCTACGTATTAAAAAAAATTGATTTATGTAAAAAAGTTATCGATTGTTATTTCGTTATTTGATCGTGTAAAGGAAATATTCTACATATTTTAAAAATATTATTTATGTATCTCTGCAAAAACTGTAATGAGCATTTATGTTTTTATAATTGTACGTTTTTAAAAATAATTTTACTCTGTTCTCAACAAAATCAATATGTTTTTTTTATTTTGAAGATGTTAATGAAAAATATTAAAATATAATAGAAAAATCTGTTGATATGAATTTATAGATATAATTTTTTTTAATAATGAAAAATATCGAAAACAATAATAAATTACAAAAAAGCCAAAATTGGGCGTATTTAAGATATTAGTGTAGTGTAATAGACTTTAGAATGATATATTATAAGTGGAATAGTTTCGACTTTATTCGTTAGTCTTCATTAGCCGCATTATAATAAACGAAATTACAAAAATCTAAATTACATCAAATATTCAAAATATATCGTAGTCACAATATGGTAAAGTAATATTAAAATCAAATGTTATCTCTTTTTTTACATATATGACAGGATCTATGTCGGTGTCTAATACTTTCCTAGGATATTTCCTCCATTAACAATTTTATATTTCCTATATTTCTCATTATTCTTCAATACGCTTTCATGATTGAATTTGTCATAATAAATATTCGTCATACAATAAATTAAAAGAATTAAAAGTCACAAGTCCATAGGATCAAACTGTTCGCTCGTAATTGTCAGATGACGGATATTTTAACTCTTTAATGTAATTTAGATTTTTGTAATTTCGCGTTTGTTGTAATGAAGCTGATGAGAAATGATGAATAAAGACAAAACTTGTTTCATTTATAACACATAATTCTAAAGTTTATTACAATATACATTAATTTCTTTTATACGTCTGATTTAAGCCTTTTTGTAATTTATCTTGTTCCGGGTATTAATATAAGGAGGTTGATTTGTCATTGGAAAAATATTTATTGGTAGAATTATTATTAAAAAATATTAATAATATATAAATTTTCTTCACAATTATGTGGCATTTATTTTTTCAATAAAACTGGATGACGAAAATTGTATAACTTATCTAGAATATAAGTGATAAACACACACGTGTCAGTACTTTTCAGTCAATTATCGGTTTTCTGAGTTTATCGATATTACGTTGCAGTAACTAGTCGCACCGGTGTCGACCGATCGTTCGTCGTTGTGACGGTGATACACGTCGCGCGGATGACGTTTTTCTCGAGGAAAAGTACGCGTTGAGGAAAACTCGAATCTCTGAGTAGCTGACAAGAACTCGAGGGAGAAAGAGAGGTCGCGATAAAAATATCTGTGTGCGCCATACAACCAAAATATTTTTAGCGAGCAGATAATTATATACTCTTTTATCTTTATGCGTTCGACGTGCGTGTATACGTGATAAGAGATTATTTTCTGTGATTATTTTCATTAACATCATCTAAGATCCCGAATTCAGATTAAGCAAAAAGCGCGAACAAGCGAATGAACGAACTTGCTTCGATAAATGCAAAAAACGATGGAATATACATATTTCATTCTTTTTTTAATATATCAAAAGAGAAGAGCTTGTTACTCTTATTACATTTGTCATAAATATTCAGCTCGATTACAGACCTTGTTTAATTTTTTATTGTCATAAATATTCGTTTGTTTTCGTCCGTCCTAGTTTGAATTGAACTTATTTTAATGTGATTTGTCATAATTTCTATTCAGAGAAAAAGATATAGTGATAGCAAACTGTATGTATATGTGACAACTACAAATTTTATTTATAAATTGTAAAATTAACGAGACACTACCGTGTTTTCAGATATACATATATATATATATAAAATATATAATTGAATGTACTATTTAATAGTTATTGAAACTAAACCTGAATGGTTATAAAAACTTATTACGAGATACTACTGTTTAGCTTTATATTTGCAATAAAATAGTTTATTCAACTATATTTTATATATATATATATAGTTGCTGTATATCACTGTCTTTCTCTGAATACAACTATACGAGTTTTATAGAAGTTCCTCGTAATTCAGCTTCAGTTTAAATAGCTATAAAATAGTTTATTTAATTATATTTGTATATTAATTCTACGTATAAACTCGTACAGTTGTCATCTCTATAGTTGCTAGCATTATAAAAAATGATTTTTTTTTTTCTAAATATAATATCGGTACGTTGATGAATATTTACTTCAAGAATAGATATCAATTAGTAGGTGCTTCCCATTTAGTAACACAAGTCGACATAAATGTCGTTTTATATTTTATTACTTATTAAATGCTAAAAAAGAAAGCATCCAGCATAATTCGTTCTTCTTTATGTAATGTTTAAGTTTTGGTTAACTGAGTATTGTAATTGTTAATGCAACAGAGATCTTAATTTAATTTTTATGTTTCTTTCATGATAAAACGGTATATTTTCTTTTTAATATGTGAACGATATGACTCATTATGCATGTCTGGAAATAACTTTATTTTCACTGTGTATAACGCTTAAAAACGGCATGTGTGCTAATTAGCTAGCCGGACTAAACGACGATACAGCAAACATATTTAAGTTATACACTCCGATTCATCACTATCAGAGTATGTTTGAAAATTCCAGTGATGTTCTTATACCGCTTGACTCCTTAGAATTTCCTCAGGCATATATAGATCGTCGCGATACGCATGCATAAGATCGTACTTTGAGCCGCGTGCAAAGTCAATGCGATTATCTATTACAGTCATTAAGGAACCGCAGTAATTCTCGGAGAAAGACATTTGCGGAAGACGGCTTAGGCATGCCGTCTGTTATACTTGAACCGTATCAAAATTGCGCATCATACGCGAGAAATATAACATTCTGTATATCACCGGCAGTAACACACGACAGATGGAATGGCCGTTAATTTAACACTTCTGCTTTCTTCGTAACAATTAAAGAATAAATCTTAGCGTTGTGCGATAAAACAGCAATGACATTTGTAATTTTATAAAACTTGACAATAATTGACATTAATTATGGTTAAGATTACTGTAATGTTAGTAATTAATAATTACATTTATGTGTTTACAAAAATATATACTTGGCACCGAAAATGACTATAAATTAGAGTTACTCTAAATTCTTTGGAGTGGAATCTCACCCTTTTTTAAGTTAGCTCAATTTTCACTCTTTAGAGTGAGCTCTTCAGAGTGACAATTCACTCTAAAAGTTTTAAAGAGTAAATTATGGTAATTGCAACCTGTCAATGTATTAAGGGGATCCTAAAGCGAAGCCCGAACTCCGACGAAGTCACCAGAGATCGCTGTTTTTTCAGCGCGTCGACATGTTTTATATACTACCACACCAATATCTCACGCAATCTATGATACACGCAGTCGCACGTTCATGTCAATTTTCGTATAACAAATTCGTCGCGATAAAGCATCCAAGTCTGATTTTAAGAATTCGACGTTATTCGTGTAAACTACGTGTTTGTGGATTACTATTTCGTAAGTACAGGTTACAAAACTTTCGTATCAAGCAAATGTTGTCACTTGACAGCTTGAGACGCCATGTTACACTAAGAAATGATAAAAAATATATCAATTTCAAAATTTTTGGTCGTTCTCGGCATAAACTCTACCTCACAAACACGTATTAATGTGTGCTTTCTAACAAGCGACACAAATAACACGGTGTGACACAATGGATCATTACATCCTTGTTGTTTGTTAAACAAAGATGATATGATTCATGTGTTGCATTGTGTCGCTTGTTGGAAGACACACGTCGAATACACTTAAGCCTGAAAAAGGATTTTCAAATTTATGGAAGAGAAAAAAAAGTATTTGTTACACAAAAATTATATGATTTAGTCAGTAAAACAGACGGCTTTAGGATATATCTCCTTAAAAGAATTTGAATATATTTTTTCGCGAATTAAAGACGCGGGCGATATTATATAAACTAACTTAAAAACTTTTCATGTACTGTTTGTCAATCAATTGTACTTGATTGACTTGATATTTTATGTTCTAGGGGTGGCAACGGTCTCGTTGGGCAGTGTTGAAGTTGGCGCGAAGGGCAGAGAGGTCAGCTGTGATCTGGCTTTGGTTGCGGTGGTAGCAGCGGAAGCGGAAGCCGCTGCAGTATCGAAGACAGGGGGTGAGGAGGTGGGGCCGGGTGAGGCTGGTAGTAGTCCCGACTTTGCTAGGCGAAGACACAAATTTTATCCTTATCCTCATTTTCATTCATCTCCTTTTCCTTTACTTGTCACCTTGCCTTACGAGAGTAGTAAATTCAGGGACGTTTGCCACTGGCCACCGGAAACGCTGTCGACGGCGTGACACCGGCTTTGCAGTTAGCCTTACTCCTCTCACAGAGAGTAGGCGTCGTAGACAGGAGCTACCGTCATCCGTCATTATCGTAGAAATTCTGAGCCCTCCTCGACGAGAGGTGGGAGCTCCATCAAGCCCCTCTCGCACGCGCGACATCCCAGTATCTTGTACCCGTTAACGGGTGCTTATAAGGCACGCGCGTCATCTGCCAGACATCATGAACGAGCTTGATAGCCTTCGTCAAGAAGCGGAGACGCTGAAAAATGCCATTCGGGTAAGTACTCGCTTCTTTACGTCGAGGTCATTGTTTCTTCCTTTTCTTGTTAATAAGTATTAAAATATATAGGACGCACGAAATATCATCATATCATTTAATTATCCAATTTTCGGGTTTTAGTAATCAATTTTATATTAGTTCTATACGAATTTTGTTAAAAAGAAATGTATTATTCATAAATCAAATAATATGATATTTTGTGCACCACCCTACATGTATGTGTACGTGTGTGTGTGTATGTATGTATAATGTATATATGTATGTATGTATATACATATATAAATAACTTATTTTCTACGCGCGATTTGCGTGAAATATTTTTAATTAAAGTTGTAAAGAAAACATTACGAATAATTTGTCAACTACTTTATTGCTATTTTATAATTGAATTTCTTGAAATAAAAATTTATTAAATTATTCGCAATTATGACGATAATCCATTAGCGAGTAATACGCCAAATACGTTAACCCTATAATATCAAATAAAGTAAAAGGTCTTTTAAGAGAGCAGTGAATTCTTGGATTGGAGAGCAATTGAATCCTTTCCAACAGATCGAATCGACCCATTCGTCTCTTACACCAGATTTTGCAATTTTATGTAACTCTCTTCCGGCTTGCTTTGCTCCGAACGTTAAAGAATATTGTAAATTTTAACGATAGAGAGATATTCTTCTATGGCGAATGACTTTCCACATAGTTGTGAGAATATGGAGCCGAGTAGCGGTGGTGGTAGTGTAGTGGTGGTAGGGCGCGGCATAACCGTCGCTTCTCTGATCAATACACCACCATCCCTCTCTCCCTCACTCCATGTCTTGTTTCTTCTCTGAATGTATTCGTCTCTCTTTCTTTCCTGCTTCCCTTCCTATTCTCTTCTTTCATGCATGTATAAAATGTACGCGCTCGCACGGTATGTACGGAAATATGCGCTTACGATGAAAGGAAATAACTCTATCGACCCTGTTTACTAATTGTTTATGACGCGTGTGATTTTTTTTGAATCACAGTTTATTCAGCAAAATCCCTAATATGCGTAATGAATACGTGTACCATGAATGCTAAAATATTTTCTTATGTCCAACGATTTTTTTATATTTGTCTGAAATTATTTTATCAAAAAGATATCATTCTCGATTGAATATACAATAAGTTACGATGAAAATTCATTATAAAATGAATTATAAAACGAAAATGCGAAATATAGTGCGGTCCTTTTTAGAAATCAATGGTCTTGTACATACATCTTTAGTCTACTAAAGGCAAAGAGTTATATCCAATATACTCCAGTATTAAGTCACTTTAAGTACTACTGTCTACTGTATTATAATCCGATTTTAAAGGTCAACTGAAAGATAGTATTGCGACATAATATCGGATTAAAGATACGTGAGTTGTATTTACCGGATTTTTCTCTCGTCCCGTAACTTTCTTTTTCTAATTCCTTGAAATTTGCGAAATTTTTCAGCATTCTGTTTAACTTAGTCACATGTTCGGTCATGATCGCCGTTTGACTTTTCATGCTTAATTCGTGTATACGCAGGCATGACACTAAATGAAGTTTTCACACAGAATTTATTAAATTTTCGTGTGATTTGTATATTCGCTACCGGCACGTTTCAATTAAGATGCTGCTACAACGTGAAAGCTTTAAATTGTGCGGTGCATGCAGATAAAATTTTCTCGTCATTCTTTATTACGTAGCTAATGATAACGAGTAAGTGTACGATACGACGAAGTCTTTCTTTCGTTATCGTGAATCTTGTCGCGTGTATTAGAGAAAAACAAACGCGGGAAACAGATCCCGATGCAAATTTACACACAAGTATAAGTCAAATTGGACCGACGAGAATAAATCGATTAAGAGAAATAATCCTATTCGGTCAAAGCGGATTTTGGTGCTTCAATATTCCAGTGTTTATGTACATATCCAATTTTGCAAATCGCGCGTCGAAATCTTTTCAGTCTCGAAATGCAATCATGAACAGAACTAGAGTAGTATCACATATTAAATTGACAAGCAATTTAATAATATTGATATTAATAAGCATCTTATAAGAATATTAATAATTTGATGCTAATATAAGTATTTTAAAAACTGTAAATAATTTGTTGCGAAAAATATTACCTCAGCCAAGATTCGAATCCGCATTCCATTTATAAATTTAACTTGTAATTTCATGCCGCAGGATGCCAGGAAAGCAGCATGCGACACGACCTTGGCCCAGGCCACATCAGGCATGGAACCTATCGGTCGCATACAAATGCGAACGAGACGTACGCTTCGTGGTCACTTAGCTAAAATTTATGCAATGCACTGGGGAAGTGACTCGAGGTATGACGTTAGACGCAAACACAATAATTCGATGACGATTAGCATGTGAAATTATTGATCACTTTAACCATCTGGAGCTGATGGTGGTTCTATTGAATCCACTCAATTATATTCTTCATATTATATCTGCAAATTTGAATTATTGAAGTGTTATTAAAATAAACTCAATATTCACACACATATTCTTTTTTATACGAGCTACGTCATTTTATTTTCTTGAAATTAATTAGTATCTTTTAGTCAATATTAAATTACAATACAACGAATCTCATAGACTCAATGTCATTAACTATATTATAGATTTTGATCTTCGTCTCTAGAAGGTTAACTTGAATTTTAGTAATAATAAACTAAAATAAAATTTTAGTATTTTAATAGTAGTGTGATTTTTTAACGTTGAGAAGGATTTAAGAAAGTAGAAAAGTATAAATTTTATATATGGAGGAGCATTTTCTCTCAAATTGAACACCCCCTCTGTCTAAAATTCAATTTCAACCAAAAAATTTTTTTCTAGGCTCAAATTGTAAGTACACATGTCTACTTTCTTTAGCACTCTGGCCTTTTTGAAAAGTCAATATGGTAGGCCTAACATGACGGCTGTACTTCAGGAAGTACAGATTGAGAACGCTTCAATCATCACTCAGATGAGTCAAAATACGTTCGATTTTTACGCATATCGTTATCTAATTATTCTTCGGTTCTCAAATGAAGAATCCGCAGTTAAATTTCCAAAATAAAAAATGGCGGATCCAATATAGCGGAAATTTTCAAAAATTGTCTTGAGTTTTATGAAAATCAGTAACTAAAGGTGCTTTGGATCGCTAATCATGAATCCGCATCCGGATTTGCATTCAAAATGGCGGATCCAATAGTCGACCAAAATACTGACATTTGACTCAGTTGCCTTATTAATCCGTATTCAAAGTCTTTCGGGATACCACCGTCAGAATGATAGATTCAATATGACAACCCAAAATTTGTTTAATGTCCTCGATTTAGATCAGGATCGAAGAATTTTTAAGGTGCTGATTACGAATTACTGTGAAGTCTCTGTATATCGAAATAATGGATCCAACGTTTATAGATAATATGTTAAATTAATACGTTTTATTCATTTAGCTTAGAACTTACATTTAAGAAACATTTTTATGTTATTTGTTCATTTATTTATAAATTATGTTATTTTAACAAGAAATGTTTAATATCAATTTAGTACAAAATATTCGAATAACTGATGAGCGGACTTTCGAAATGCGTTTTATCCAAAATTTATAATTTTCAGAAAACGATAAAGAAAACCACAAGAAAACTACATACAGAAAATAACAATATGTCAATCAATAGTATGTAAAATATTTAAAAAATGAATAATAAGAAGAATCTGGACTGTACATTTGAAAATTCAACAATAAGGAATAGAAGTAAGTAATAACCATAACGATCAAAGCTAGATCTTTAATGCTTAAATAATTCAATCCGAATTACTATATATGTACATACATGCATATATACTATATTTGTAGTCATCAAACTGCGTACCGATTAATTTTTCAGACTTATAAATATAATTAAACTACTGTAGTAATATCACGATTTAAATTGACAAACTATTTTTATAATTTGAAGTTCAAACTAGGGATGTGTGATCTCGATTCGATCTTCTAAAAGATAGATTTTTTAATCGATTCGCAAGGATCCGATTTTAAGGTAGATCGATTCATTTAATAAGAGATCGATCTTCGAAGCGTAGGGGTGAATTCGGAAATTCAAGATATATTCTGATATATCATTTCATCCCTGTTGCTCATCGACTGTTAAACAAGAATAAAATGATATCTAGAGATACATCCAGATGAAGTTTCTTAACACAGTTGGCAAACCTGCCCTATAGCCTGTAGTTGGTTGGCGACGTTGGCGCCCCCGTGGTTGTTGTACTAGTTGTGATATTCTTAATTTTTGAACGGCGTAACAGTGCGTGCTGACTTCCAAAGTTGTAATATCATTACTGTACCTACACTGCTTACGTTTACATGTTAACATTAATCAGGTTTAATAATTTCTGTAGTTACAACTAGTAATTATTAGTGACAAAATGTATAAATAAATGCTAGTTAAATTCTAATTTATAATACCAATTGACAGTTGTTATAAAACCGGAATTAACGCATTTATATACGATATTTCACCGATTTTACGTCAGTAGTTGATTTACGTCAGAACTACAGATGTTAGTGTAAATCTAGACTTTTAAATTCTCTCAAATTATTTTACTCGGAGGCAAATCAAAATCGTGTTTTAATTGTTTTTTTGTTGAATATTTACACGATCTCAGTGAGAAATGACAATGGAATCAATATTGATTCCTTATTACGGTTATTGTAACGAAGTGAAAATTACAAAAATGATCAAATTCACTAGATGTTAAAACCAATGAAGTTATAAATATTCTAGTAAATTCAATCACTTTTGTAATTTTCACTTCGTCATAAGGAACCGTAATAAGCCCCCTGAAATCAACAAATTGACGTCGATTCGACATCTATTCCATTGTCATCACTGAGATGTTACTAAAAAAATTTTAATTGAATCGATCTCCAATAGTTCTTTTTTAGTAGATCGATTTCAATCAATCCGATTCAAGAACGATTCAGAGATCGATTCAATTAATGGAGATCGCACATCCCTAGTTCAAACAGGCATCTTTTGAGAAAGATATTAATATGCTGAAAAACTGTAAATAAATTAATTTAAAGAATGCTTAAAAATTGCTAAAAATGTTAAACAAATACGTTTTGTTTATCTTTAGTTAAAGGATATATACTTAGAATATTTAGGCTCTTTTTAGCAGATAAATTAATGATAAATCTGCTTTTCGAATATCCCATAGTAGTAGCTTTTATCGGAAAACGTAGCAGTAATGCCAGAAATAGGCGCCAGTAGTATAGAAGGGATGGCTTTGCGTGGCTGTATACCTGTACATATGCGCTCTTCAAATCTTGAAATACTTTTTACGACTATTTGCAAAATTAGTTCTTTGAGTCGTGATATTGGATCAACCATTTTGAATTCTATAAATGCGGATTCATGATTAGTGATCAAAAACACCCCTGGTTACCGATTTTCATAAAAATCAAGAAAATTTTTGAAATTTTCCGTCATATTGGATCTGCCAATTTTTATTTTGGAAATCTGACTGTGAATACTTCGTCTGAGACCCGAAGAACAATTGGATAACGATATTTGTAAAAATCGAACGTATTTTGGCTCATCTGAGTGATGATTCAAGCGTTCCCAATCAGTAATACTTCGTAATCTACAGCCGTCATATTAGGCCCACCATATTGAATTTCTAAAAAGACCAGAGTGCTAAAGAAAATAGACATGTGTACCAATAATTTGAGCTCAAAACAATTTTTTTGGTTGAACTAAATTTTGGACAGAGGGAATGTTCAATTCGACAGAAAATGCTCCATATATATACTGCAAATTTTCAATGTAAAAAGATGTACAATGTACATACATATGTGTGTGATTAGTTTTTCGTGTAAAAATAACACACTATTTGTATACAAATATGGATTTACACATTTAAACATGTAGTATAGTATCATTTTTACACACTAATACACACTAAATATGTGTATTGTAGTCACTTTTTACACACTTAGATTTATAATGTTAGAGATACAAATAAATCTTTATTTCATATTTTACGATACTTCAAAATGATGGTTATGCAAAATCATTAAAATAAAGGAAATTTTTTTTTATTGAGTTCATCGGCGTATATTTTGTTTCTCGTGCACAGGAATCTAGTCTCTGCATCGCAAGATGGCAAACTAATCGTTTGGGATAGTTACACTACCAATAAGGTTCACGCAATCCCATTACGGTCATCATGGGTAATGACTTGTGCGTACGCGCCCTCGGGTAGTTACGTGGCATGCGGCGGATTGGACAATATCTGTTCCATCTATAGTCTTAAAACTAGGGAAGGGAATGTTCGAGTGAGCAGAGAACTTCCGGGTCATACTGGGTATTTATCCTGCTGTCGATTTTACGACGACAACCAAATCGTTACCAGTTCCGGTGATATGTCTTGGTAAGTATTACTTACGAGATTTATGATGGATGACTAAAAATTGCTATGACAGAAAAATCCTATGTTCTTTATATTTTAAAACTTTAGTTTCTAAACTTTTGCAAGATAAAATAAAAAGTATATAACTATATAAAATACATGAAAAATTTAATATATAAAATAAAGATAAAATTGTATATTTCTTATTTATTTGTCTCTTGTATTTTTTAATTTAAAAGTAAATAAAAAATTGAAATATGAATACAGTTGTATTTTTTAATACGTTTTGTGAAATACAAACTATTGCATTTAACAAAACTAAAAACGTAATAAAAATATATTATATATAATTGAAAACGATAAAAAATTTTATTTCTTTTTTTCTCTATCTATTTCCCAATCCCTTCCGTCGTTGATCCCGATGAAAACTTTTGAAAATTACGTGAATTAGAATGCTGAATTGTTCTGATTCAGTGCTTTATGGGACATCGAAACTGGTCAGCAATGTACTTCGTTCATCGGGCATACTGGCGATGTGATGTCTCTGTCGTTGGCGCCGGATACACGCACCTTCGTGTCCGGTGCGTGCGACGCCAGCGCGAAGTTATGGGACATTCGTGAAGGCTCCTGTAAGCAGACCTTCCCGGGTCATGAGAGTGACATAAATGCCGTCACGGTGAGATATTATGTTAAGGAAAAAAAATAAAGAATTACCTTTTCATAACGGTAATACTAATACGTTTTCGAGATAGGTTAAGGATTAACTTGACAGTTTGATATATTCACAGTTCTTCCCGAATGGATACGCTTTCGCGACGGGCTCAGACGACGCGACCTGCAGACTTTTCGACATTAGGGCGGATCAGGAGCTCGCGATGTATAGTCACGACAATATCATTTGTGGTATTACCAGCGTAGCTTTCAGCAGGAGCGGTAGATTATTGCTGGCGGGCTATGATGATTTCAATTGCAACGTTTGGGATTCTATGAAGACGGAGCGAGCTGGTAGGTTGACGATACTTTACGGGCGTTTTAGTATCGTAAGAGAGAAGAGAGATTTTATTCGAGGCCCTTCTCTCGACATTTTCTTTCGAATTTGTTATTATCAATGATTTTAATTATTGGAGTAAAAGATAAAAATTATTCTTACTATTGTATTAAAGAATATTTCCCATAATTGTATTTTCTAGGAATTCTCGCTGGGCATGACAATCGCGTGTCTTGTCTCGGCGTGACGGAAGACGGAATGGCGGTGGCGACGGGCTCCTGGGATTCGTTCCTACGCATTTGGAACTAACTTGGGGCTGTCCCAAGGACGTTCCTTCAAAGAACCAACTACAGTCAACCAATTTACAGCATAAGAATCAAGTACCACCATCTGACCACCGAGCAAGTCGGCGTGCCAGCAGCCACGACACTGGCAAACAATTCGCCAGGTTCACCGGAGTTGACGCTGATCAGAAACTTTGGATACCGGATTAGTAGCAGTAGCAGCAGCAACGGCAGTAGTAACAGCAACAATAACAATTACGAGCGTATGAAGACCCATGATAACAGCGACAACAGCAATGGCGGTGATTTCAAGAACGTTTTGGGTTATGGTGGTAAAAAAGATTCCCACGGCAAGCGCATCGTAGTTGACTTGACCTGGCGACGCAGTAAAGTCGGCGACAAGGACCACGAATATCAACGCTTCTAAGAATTCTCGAGTTAGATCAAATACCAAGATACATTGCAGAAAAAGAGCGCGCGGCGAAGGATGAGGCGTAAAAACGAAGAACAAGCGCCAACAACAAGGTCGACAGTTAACAACTCTGCGGCATTGGGCGCAGACTTTCTTTTTATCCTTCCCTTTTTCAAGGACTTTCTTCGCGAACCTTCGAGATGCACGTGCTAGTTCACAACTTGATAGTTCTTTTCCCACGGAGGCACTCCCAATCGAGGATTCCGAAGTTCGAAGGACGGACGACAATCTCGCGCCGACGATCGTCGAGAGATTTCCATCTCGAACCAAGGTTCAAGCGTTCACTGCCGAGGAAACGCTGTTAATATTTGCACCGGCGATTAGCTACGAATTACTTTTCCCATGCGCAAAATAAGATTTTATCGAGCATGATACGACATGTAATCGTAATAATGCGTCGCGACTCGGAGATGAGAGACAAGCACAGTCAAGCTCATAATCCTAGTAATGTTGCGTTCGAGTTTATACGGCGCACATTGAACGCACATGTGTATCGATGGAGATTCACAACGCGAATGCCGTACACTTGCACGCGAAAACGGAGGAGCGGTGCGGATCCAGCAGCCTCGAGACACATCCAAGTCACACATAACTCGTCACGCGAGCTTTGCCCTCGTTCATGAGCACCGTCAAACGGAAGAGAGAGAGGAAAAGAGAGAGAGAGAGAGAGAAGCATGAAATGAGATGATCATTTTTCTTATCATGATAAAATACGCCGACTTTGCACCACTACAATTATTACTATTATTACTATTACCAGCACCACAACCCTCTCGATTGATTAAATGTATCGTTATTTATTTTGTATAGATTTCTGCCATAAGCCGTTCTGCTACATTTTTTGCGAGTATGAGAGCGACTAAACACTTTGTAAAAGAGATTGAGAGAGAGAGAGAGAGAGAGAGAGAGAGAGCTGTGAGAGCGTGAAAATGAGAGCCAGAGACGCGCGGCCAAATGTCAATAAAAAAAAATAAAATAAAAAAACGCGCGGATAAATAAAATGAGTGCTGAACATAGAACTGGAACATAGTTGCTCCTTTGATAAATATTCGATTCATCGGGACGTTGACGTTCATGGAAGAATGCGAGAGGAGCAATATACTAAAGTTCGAGAGAGAGGGGGGAGGGAGGGGGAGAGAGAGAGAGAGAGAGTTTCATTTGTTTGCATCGCGACTGCGTTATGATTGAAATACGAAAATACGGGCCAGCATGAAGTGTCGAGTTCGTTTAATGTAATGTGTAATCGTTTAGTTCATAGTGTCCATACCTTAACCTCCTCTCCCCGCCCTTTGTCCAATTATCTCTAATTACGGCAACGGCGAGAAGGAGAAGAATTAATCCCTGACTATTGTCTCGGCGGTATCTCTTCCCCACTGTCGATTAAACGCCAATAAATCCTCGTGCACGAGGCAGGCACGTGCTCTCGATCGAAAGAGTCGTGCTAAAAGTACCTTTGAAATAGGACCCAAAGAATCCCAGGTTAATAGAAAAGGCCGCGAAATTTTCTTTTCCTTATTATTACCTTTTTAATACTTCGTTCTTATTCACATTTTGTTTATCACGGCTTTTTTTTGTAAACATGTAAGTACGTAATTGTATTTTTTCGATAGCTTTTTTTTATAACTTTCATCTCCTGTCTATATCCCTCTTTTTCCGCGCTGTTACCTTTTTTCCTTTGTTTCACTCCTGTCTGTCCTTTTTTGTCAAAAATAAATGTTGAAACTGTGTATGCATTTAAAATTAAAATAATAATATTAATGATAATGATTATACTATTAATATTAACGGTGATCGTAATTTATAATTATTAATATTTAATATATAAGTACATAAGATCGATGGTTTTTCTTAATATTGCAGGATTACATGGTCCAATCGCCTTCCGGCAACCACGTTCCGACAGCGTCTTTTTTATTTTCTTTTTTTTAAGAATTTTGTACATTCACTCCATACACATATACATATATGTAATTAATTGCGTGATGCGCTTTACTTTTCATTTATGGTATATAAACGAATATTTTAATTCGATAGGAATTCCATGAATCTTTGTTTTAATTACAAATAAAATATATAATTTGTATATACGAAAAAAGTTGTTGTGTATCACGATAAAAATTATGATGAGATGCGTCGGTTGTCAAAATTGAGAGAATTTAGAGAAAAATGCGTGGATTCCGGAAAGCGACTATCGAAACATCTTTTCCTAGTGGAACCAAAAAAAAGTAATTTGTCTGGCTATACATAGCTAGCACCAGTCTCCGACGATTTTGGAGAGGTATTGCAAACCTCGAACATATTCGAATTTCGCAAAATCGGTTCTTTTTTTACACGTATATATAAATAACTAATCTTGCTTACATAATGCTTTATACTTGTTAGATATCAAACGGGCGAAAGATCTTTCTCCGTCTCGAAAGAGGAGATCCTTGTTCCTTCGATTCTTTGTATTATTAAGAATTCTTCCAAAGTTCGATATAAATTATCAGGCGTTACGTTAAAAATGCAAGAAATGTGGATAATGCATCCCCTTTTCGGTACTTCCAACATAACTTCGAAATAAAAGAAGGAATAATCTTAGAGCAGAGAATTACGAAGGAATAGGAAACTTTAGTGAGCAGACTAATGAAAAGAGATCTGTGCTTTTTGCATTTCGCGATTCCATGGCTTTCTCAAGAGGTGATTTTTTCCTTTTTGTACTTTGAAGCCTGGAACGATATGGTTTCTTATTTTTGGTACAAATATGAAAAGAAATCCTACCAGCGATTAACGCAAAATTGACAAGTTATTAAGCCTCTAGTCATTAATGGCATTCGCGTGAAAAATGAAGGACCAGCAGGTAAAACTGTAAGCGGAAATAATTTTTTTAGCTTCTTGCTGTTCGCGCGAATACGATTGCGGAACTTTATCTATTTATTTTTCTTTTTTGAAAATGTGACACATACGATAGAATAATTGCGACGCAGGAGGAAAAGTAACGGCATAAAAAACAGCTCTGATAAAATCAACCTTTTGTTTTTCTCTCTTTTTCGTGCTTTTAATGATATAAAGAGAATAAAAATATTTGAAAAAAGAATCAAACGTGGCATTTCCGTTATTTTTTTACCGCTTCTTCGCTTTCTGTTTCCTCCCTCCGTAAGTGATACATTCGCGTGTTTTTTATGGTTTTATTACCCCGACGTTTCCTTTGCGTATGTTATTTTCTTTCGTTACGTATTTGTTAATGTCGTTAAGCGCCCTGCTAAGACGAGATCTACAAGATTATGGCGCGTTGGGTCCTATTTCAATTATTAGAATAATCGTCACTAGTGTATACGCGTACATGTAAAATAGTTAAAAAAAAAAGAGGGAAAGGAGGAAAGAAAGGGAAGAAACGTGAAAAATGTGCCGACGACACTTTCGTGACTTGTTTTACGATGGACGACGAGAAGCCGTCGGGAATACTGCCTCTTTCAAGTTATGCAAGAAAAAAAAGAATAAATTATGAGATATAATGCGTGTATTATACATAAAACATACACTAAATGACGCGAAAGCCACTGTTAAAGTTTAAAAAAGAAAATGCGCAAGAGGACGTGGCCGTGTAAAACAACTAAGACGTGGAGTGAAAAGTGCATCGATGAAGATCGAGTGAACATTATTTGGAAGGGAAATGTACATTCACTCAGCAACTGAAAATTGAAAAGCAAGACACGTCTTTACCGTTAAATGGTAGATAGTTACAAAGATTTCATCACTTTTTTATATATAAAAAAATATATATACGTATATATATATATATAAATATATATAAGTAATGATAATTAATCACTATTGACGGTTAGCCTAGGTCATTCGCCTATAGTCACTTCGCCGCAGAGGACATTTCCACGAGGCACGTGAATATTCGATTTCCTTCGTTGATAAATAAGTCGCTCTTGTTTCTTATGATACAGGTCGTGTTCCAATATACACTATCCATATTAAAAATCTAATATATGTAACGTGCACTTTAGATTTTTAGTACTGGCAGTGTATATTGTAACATTGTTACCAGAGAGCACGCATGTCCAAAATCGGCATGTAAAACTTCTTAAAGATGTCATTAAGACATGTCTTATTCCTGATTTTGGACATTACAGAAATCCAATTTAATACTAAAAATGCTTGCTTATTTTAAGTATTAAAAGTATTGAATAACAGTGCTTTTAATTACTCAAAATAAGTAATTAATCACTATCTTCTAGTGATTAAATTTCTGTAAGGAATGCGTGCTGGGCATAGCACGTGGATGTCTCTCTCGCAGAATTCATCATAAAGCTGGAAACACAATGAAAAGCACAGGCAAGAACGGAATAAGAGATTTCAGCCTATCAGAAAGTCCATTTTAGTATGTATGGTTTCTGATAGGTTGAAATTTGTTATTTCGTGTTCCTAATTGTCTGTGCTTTTCATTTGTGTTTTCAGCTTCACTCGCATAATAGAAAGAATTGTTTCGGAAGGGATCGGTTAAGAGAATACGTGGAAAGACGAATTTCGTCGAGTTATAGCGATATCATTATATTTGAATCAGGAATGAATTTCAAAATTTTTTTCTTTATCCTATATCGATTACATTATTTCTGTTGTAATGAGAGAATTGTGTTACTTTTCGATATTACATCTTTATTTGAACTTTTGTCATAATGTAACGTCCAATAATATTCTGCAGTAGAGAAGCCTATTCGAGAAATAGTCTTGCAGAAATAAAAAAAATTCTTTCGAGCACAATTATTTCTGCCCACTTGATTGGTCATTGGATGATCGTTCAGATAGAAAATAAAATAAAGATATATCTTTTTACACACACACACACACACACACTCACACGCACGCACGCACACGCACACACACACACACATACAGTTGCAGTTTTACAGTTTTATGCTGTAATAAACTATGTTGGCTTTTGATATCGCGTTTATTTACTTAAACTTTCATCAGAAAATTTATCAGAATAATATGATCCGATAACATTCCGCAATAATGAAGCGCGAGAGATTCTCACGCGAGAGAAACCGCCTAGATATGATTCTTTCGAGCATATAGTCATCTATCCGCGTTCATTCGTTATCAGATAGATCACTAATTGCGTAGAAAACCGAGCGATATAGTCCGTCTATTCGATGAACACGATTAAAAGGATACAGATTTGCGTATAATTAAGAATCGTTAGGAATCATCTCAGAGCGTGAGTGCATCTGTTTCTCCCGTCGCGGCTTTTAAAATGACACGAAATAAAAATCGCGCCGGGTTCATCAAGGTGTTCGATTAAATATTTCATTTTGCAAAACTGCGTGAGTTGCATGTGCGTGAACGATTACGTGAGAACCGCTCGGTCCTCTCTCTTGAGCGTTTTTCTCTGTGCAATTTAAAATCACGGATGCAACGGTATAACTGCGTTTTCATAATATTCTATATTTCACGTCTACAACAAGTGGAACCCGCGAGAAAATTTCCTGCGAAATCGTCGCGAATAAATAAATATCAATTAAAGATTCAGTTGTTATATTTGCGTTTTGTTATAAAGATTACAAAGATTGTTAATGACTGCGTTCTGCAGAAAAAGCAGTTTTGTTGTAAAATTCTTTAATATGATTGATCTATTTAGATCCACTAAGAATTAATTATATATAAAAGAATGTTATAACTGTTACAAAGCTGCCTTTTCTAAAAAGCAGAAGTTGTCGTTGCATTTAATTAATATGCCCAGAGAAACATTATCGCAAGCCCATGTCAAGAAGACAAGGAGTGCACGAGGGCCACGTTTGCATAGTGTTCGATAATACCCTTCAATTTCAATGTCGTCCTAAGTCGTTATAGTTATATCAGCGAATTTTTTTAAATGCAGATACATACGTAAATATACCTAAGAGGATGTGCAAACGGAAGTGCGAATCCTTCTAAGTGAATTGCGAATTTGAGAGACACGAGCTTTTTGTTACTTCATGTATTAATACGATAACGTAAACTCGATTCCTTCAACAACGTTTCTCATTAACATACGCGCGATTCTAATGACAATTCGAAATTCTAATGAGAGAACGGCATTTTTATGAACTTCATCATTGAGGCCCATTTCTATCAATGTAGATTAATTTTAATCTTATAATTAGTTTAATTTACTCTTCAGTCTTTTTTTTAATTTTTAGAAGTAGAAAAAAATGAAAAGTGAGTTAAATGTTAATTGAGGTTAATTTTAATTTACTCTTCAGTCTTTTTTTTAATTCTTAGAAGTAGAAGAAAATGAAAAGTGAGTTAAATGTTAACTGAGATTAACGTTAATCTACATGAGTAGAAATGAACATGAGACGTTATGATTTTGTAAAGTTTTCTTTAGACACGCCTTGAATCGTCTAACGATTTTTACGTGATTTTATTGTAAATCTAGTGTTACGAAAGTCTGGTGCATTCGATCTGCAATCATGAAGGAGAAAAGCGGGGAATTGGTGAACTTGTATATTTTTGTGCGTTTTAACTGTTTCACGCTTCTTAACTCATAACTAAATATCGTAACGATATAATCCTATTTAAGATAAAACAAAAATATATTTTAACAAGATAGATAATGTCATTCGTCAATGATATTCAGACATATCTTTGGACTAAAAATTTCGTTTGCGTATTTTTTTTAT